TAATCTCCTACCTCTTTTGTCTGTAGCTCACTATTATTTGTCTATTTGTTTTCCTGAGAAACTATCTTGTAGATAACAATATGTAAAACAATAACCATTGATAATTTCCTACCACTTTGTCTGTAATTTGGTAAGCCCCCCCATTATTATGTTATCCTTCTCTTACTCTTTAAAATAAATTTTTTTAAAAAATGAATTGGAAAATATTTTGAACTAAATACACTGCAAATATATGTATTAAAATGTATGGCAGGCATGGTGGCACACCTGCTATCCCAGCACTTGAGAGGCTGAGGCAGGAGGATTGCTGCAAGTTCCATGCCAGCCTGGGCTACACACTGGGTCCAGGTCAGTCTGAACTACATAACAAGACTCTGTATCCAAAAAAAAAAAAATTTTTAATTACAAAAATTTTTAAATAAAATGTATAGGCTGCAGCTAAAGCAACAGTAGGAATTTCCTAGCACTGAAGCCAATATTAGGGAACTGAAGGGAAGAAAGATCTACATCAGTTGCCTCAGCTTCATCTTGAGAAATAGAAAAAGATCATAAACTCCAAGAGAGCAGATAAAAAGAAATGCTGAAGATTAGAACAGAAATCAGACAGCTGCAAATTAAAACACCACAGAGAAAAATCAAAGCCAATTCTTCGAGCAAATCAATACAACTGAAAAACTTCTAGCCAGACTGGCCAAAAAGAGAAACATTGAGGTACTAATGTTGCAACGTGAGAAGTGACCACTACTGTTCCATGCCAGTTAGCAGAGGCTATCAGTAACTGAACGCCAGGAAACCTGGCAGAGTTCAGCAGACAAATCCTAGACAGCAACAAGCCACCACGGCGTGCTCAAGGAGTTACGTATAACACGAGTAGTCACACAGGAAAGAAATTGAATTTTAAGTTTAAAATCTCGCACAAAGAAAATCCAGGAGACAGAGAGGGGAGGGGAGGAAAAGAGGAAGGAAAGAAGAAAGGAGGGAAGAAAGTTGAATATTAATGTACAAAACTCAATGACTTTTTTTTGGTACTGGGAATCGAACTCAGGACCTCGTGCTTGCCAGGCAGGCGCTGTGCCACAGAGTTATGTCCCCGGCCCCACTGACATTTCTGTGTACCAGCAAATAATTGAGTTTTGGAATTTAAACAGCAATGCCACTTAAAATAACATCAAAAGCATGACATAGAACAAATCTCATGCGTCATGCATATGACCTATACACGGCAATCACAAAACTTTGCTGGCAGAAATTAAAGAGGACCAAAACAAGTTAAGAGGTAGTCTCTGATTAAGGTTCAAACAAGTCAATATTGTTCTGATACCCTCCAACTTTTTTCTTTTTTAAGGTTATTTTGGCTATTATAGGTCCTTTATGTTTTATAATCAACTTGTCAATTTCTACTGTAGAAAAATAACAAAACTCCTATTACCTGCTTTTTTTTTTTTTTTTCTTTTGGTCATTTTGAAACAGGGTCTCACTATGCAGTTCAGGCTGGTCTTGAACATCTTAGTAGCCCAGGCTGGCCTCGAATTCACTATGACCCTCCTGCCTCAGCCGCCCGAGAGCTGGGATTATAGGTGTGCGCCACCACACCGGGCCCATTACCTGCTTTTAAGGCTTATTATAAACCAACAGTCATCAAGACAGAGCAATTTGACGTCAAGACAAACAAACGACCAATGCGACATGAGAGAAATAAAAGCTGGATCCACACACTCGGGGACTCACTTTTGACAAAAGTGCAAAGGCTGTGCCGTGGGAAAGGTGCTGTTTCAACAAACAATGGCAGAACAGTTGGCCATTTGCAAATAAATAAATAATCTTGATCCACACCTAAATGTAAACCTAAAAGTCAGCCACGGGTTCAACACCTTACCTTCAACAATTAAACAAACAGACATGAAATCAGCCAGAATACAGTCAACAAACCAACCCCCCTGTCCTTGTAGAACACTCCACCCAGCAACAGCAGGGCACACGTTCCTCTCAAGTGCGCAGCACTTGCCAAGATACCCCATAGGCTGGGCCGTAAAACAGAGCCATAAATTAGAGCTTTCAAGTCACAGGATATGTTATCTGGCCACAATGAAACCAATTTAAAATTCAGTACCAGAGGCCGGGCGTGGTGGCGCACACCTGTAATCCAGCACTTGGGAGGCTGAGGCAGGAGGATCTTTGAGAGTTCAAGACCATCCTGGGCTACAAATTGAGCTCAAGGCCAGCCTGAACTGCACAGTGAGACCCTGTCTCAAAAGGACAAAAAAAAAAATAAAAAATCAGTAACAGAAATATCTCAAAAATCCCAAATATTTGGAAAATAGCACAATTTTAAGTCACCCACCAGCAGGAGCAGGGACCAGGATTACAGTGACAGCTACCAGCCTTAGCGTGGATTTCCATGGATGAAGCCTTTTCAGAATCAGCTTCCTCCTCTGTTCTCCCACTGAACTCGGTAAAATTAAAATGTAATAAAATTAAGTTAACTTAACCGATGTTTGGTCACTCTGAGGCAGGCTGCAAACCCAATAAAAGACCGTGAGACCGGCACTGCGCCCTGCTGAGGCAAGGAAACCACCTGAAGCCAGCCGCAGCACCCCAGGCAGCCTGAGAACACATCGGGACATTTTCTCTAAATCCCGGACTCTCTTTCGGTGGCCTCCCCGGCCAAGCTAAAGAGCTGGGACAGACTTAGCCTGCAGCCGTCCTCCCCGCTCTGCCCCACACCCCTGCGCCTCTCGGGGACCCCATCAGCCCTCCTTCTCCCACAGGGCAGCTGGCGAGCTGGGCCTCACCGTGGAACTCACCCAGCTGTACATTCAGGAGTCCTGAGGGCGGGCTGAGCTCCCATGATGGGAGCGCCGTGGAGGTTCCCCGAGGCTCCCCGTGAAGCCTGCGCCTGTGCCCCTCTTGCATCCAGAGGCTGCGGTCTTCCTCCCTCTGGCTGTGACTCGTCAGCGCCTGCATCTCCCATGTCTGCACTGCTGGGGAGAGCGTCCTCGCCCGCTGACTGACGGACAGCACCAGCCACGTACAGGGCCCTTCCACGGCCAGAGCTGGACGCTCTCCCCTCTCGTCTTCTTGCAGACTCGCGGGCCTCCCTTCGCGCTTTCAGTCTCCCACGCAGCACGCGAGGTTGCTTGGGCGAGACAGCTGCCCGTTAGACGCCCACCCTGGGGTCCCGTGTGCCAGCACAATGCTGCCTCGCCACAGGTCAGCGTGGGGAGCCCACTTCGAAGCCCTGGCGAGGAGGCCGTGAGGTCGGACCACAAGGAGGGGTGGGAGTAGGAGAGAACAGAGGCTCCAGTCCAGCTGCAGAGAGCAGGTCGCCCAAGGTCAGGCTGCAAGGACAGTCGGCTCGGCTCGGCGACAGCCAGGGGAGGGCACAGACCTGGCCAGAGAGCGACACCGTAGCCGCCGGCCCCAGCCGCCCAGCCTGGACATTCCTCTCCCGTCTTGGTCCCGTCCCTTCACAGGCAACCCCACATCAACACGGCCAGCCTGCACTCGGCCCGAAGCATCAGCTTCCAGAGAGCCCCGTGGAAGACCTTCCGCGTGAAGCTCTACACCATGAGACCTGAAGCCACCCAGAATAGGTGCGTGGCCTCTAAGGGACAAGTCTGAAGAAAAAGCCTCCCGGGGAAGGGCGCCCTGTCACGCTGCTCGAGAAGAGCCGGCCCCACACTTCCCGCACGCCAGCCTCCCATGGACGGACCATGGTCCTGTGTGCAGGGACAGGCGGCTCCGCAGCTGCAGAGGGAAAACCGCGGCTCAGAGACGCGGAGTAGCCGTGCATGGTGGGAGCATCACCGGCCGCAGGGGAGGAAGGCGAGGGCCCCAGGGGCGAAGCGGTGCCGACCCTCTGGGGACAGTCAGCGTCCCCTCGAGCAGCAAACCAGAACTCGGGCACTGCTGTCAAAGGCACCGCGCTGTCCTATGTCCCCCACGCTGGATATGCTGACTCTGGGCAGGGGGACCCTGGTCTGCTGCGTGACAGCCGGGCAGGGACTGGACCGAAGCCTTCGCTGCGCGGTGCTCAGCGTGGTCTGAAAGGCCGGGGTCCGTACCTGCGTGGCGGTGAGGCCGACACACTGAGAGTCGCTCACCGTCACGACCACTGAGGAAGCTCAGTGTTGATGGCAGCTTTCGTGAAATGTTGGTTAGACAACAACTGCGGTTTAAAGCAGAGCGATAATCTGCAGCGGACCCCCTCAGGCTCCTGCTCGCACTCGGGAGGAAGAGGAAACTCACTTCCCGCAGAGTGTGGACTGAGAGACCGAGCCCGGGCCTGCCTGGTGACGCCAGCCTCCCAGGCACCAGGCCCAGCCCCAGCCCGCCCCGGGCTCTGGCCTGGGAGCCCGCACAGCCTGACCCGGGCAGCGTCGGGGGGCGCGGCCTGAGACAGCAGAGCCCACTCTTCCGCTCACTAACGGATCGAGAGGTGGAACAGCACTCTTCACGCCACAGTCACACCCTGCCCCCTCCTTCATCCACTCGGCAGACACCCTGGCTGTCTCGATTTGTCCTACTGTGAGCCCACCCCGGGCCACACCGCCCTCCGGGAAGCCACCACGGAGAACAGCAGTGCCCCGAGCTGGCTGGTCCCCCGCATGTCCAACCCTGCTGGCCCTCCAGGACCAGGGAGACCGAGACGGAGAAAACGGCCTTCTCCTCATGCTCCACGATGTTTCCTAGGAGAAGAAAGGGAAGTTAAATATATCTGTACATACACAGGCCCGTAAGTACATGCACACATACGTGTGGCTGTGTTACAATATGTAGATGCATAGGTCTCTTATTTTTACAAAAAGAAACTAATAAAAATGAGGGGAATGCTGGAGAAATACAAGCAGAAGTAATTTCTGAGTACATCTTCTTACACAGTGTTTATCTTCAACTCATGTAATTTTTTAAATATACAAATATAAAATTAGCCCAGGCATGGTAGCACATGCCTATAATCCCAGATACTTGGGAGGCTGAGGCAGGAGGATCACAAGTTTGAGCCCAGCCAGGACAACCTCGAAGATTCTACCTCAAAATCAATAAGGGCTGAGGATATAGCTCAGTGTGAAGATCCTAGGTTCAATCTCCAGTACCAAAATATAATTAAAGAAAAAAGCACTCCCTGAAACAAAACTAGAAACAAGTGATCCAAATTATACTTCAATTTGACAAAATTTCTACCCAGTCAAAAGAGCTATGTATTTCAAGCAACTTGGAAATACAGTCAATAGACTTCTTGCTAGTAGATATAGTGGAATTACAGTTTTGAAATAAGTTTATTTTAGGTAAAGCAAATAGGAAAATGTTGATGTTATTAAGAATGAAGGGGTCAGGGATGTAGCTCAGCAGCACAAGCACCTGCCTGGCAAGCACAAGGTCCTGAGTTCAATTCCCAGTACGGAAAAAAAGAATGAAGATTTTCAACATAAGATACAAGTGATAAAAGACATAAAGAAAATGTTAGTGATGAGGTAGCTTTATTGGCTCTAGGACACCTAGCAGATCAGTAAAGCACACTTCCTCCAGGGATGGGTCCCAGGCCAGGGGGCAGCTCCTGGTCCCCAACCCCTTCCTCTCAGCTCTTCTGTATCCCGTTTCCTGACCACCATGACGTGAGCACTTTCCTCCACCCACCCTTCTGAAACGATGTTTCTGCCTCAAACCAGTGACCACGTACTGAACCCTGGGAAACCATGCACCACAGTAAGCTCTTCCTCTTTTCGGCCCTGTACATCAGCTATTTCAGCAACAGGAAGCTGACACATACTATAACAGCGTATTTTAACTTCCAATATCAACACAAATCTATGATTCATTAACAAACACCTTCCTATCTGCCCATCAAAGCGTCAAAAAGCAATGACTATCCAGCTGCAGCAAGGACCTCTGGCCCCTAGACCTGGATTGCTGCTTCTCTCCTAACACATATGCTAGGGTTTCTTGAAAAAATAGTGGATGGACAAGCTGAGCCGAGGACATCTTGTTATGTCAAAACAACAAGAAAGCACCCTAAGTGTCAAAGGGCCCAGACACCAGCCTGAAGCCATCAATGGCTTCAAAACAAATGTGAGCATCAGAGAGAATAATGACTGCGGTTGTTGTAATGAACTGAAGAAAGCAAACACCCATGAGCCATAGCGAAGTTCATGCAAGGACAGTGAAGGAGATGAGAAAAATGAAGTTCTCATTTCACAATAAAAGTGTAACAGATGCCAGAAAATCACCTTGTACCCCCAGCTGGTAATTCTGATTCCATGGATCATCAAGATGCAAAACTGTCATGTCAAAAGTCTGCACACAGAGTACTTACAAACTACAGAAGAAAATCATTCCTTCATAACGGCCATTCCAGGCATCACCACCTGAACCAAGTGGCCAACCTTGAGTGGTGCACATCTCAGACAGGATCTAATATGAAGGGGGGGGTGGGTACTGCCAGAAGGCTTATGCTGAATCTAACAAAGCCTGTAGGCTTAACTTTAGATTTACAGACAGGAAGGAACTAGCACATCTTCAATAACACTGTGAGCATGTAATTGGGAAAATCCAGAATTTGGAACACTTCACATGACAACTGGCTTAGACTCTTCAAAATTCAATGCAAAAAAACCCAATGAACAAATGTTCTAGATTAAGAGACACTGAATATCTATAACAACCAGAAGCAATGTGTGAACCTTGATTGTATCCTTAGTTAAAAATAAAGACACAAGCTGGGTGTGGTGGCACACACCTGTAATCCCAGAACTTGGGAGGCTGGAGCAGGAGGATTGCTGCAAGTTTGAGGCCAGCCTGGGCTACATAGTTAGTTCAGGGGCAGCCAGAACTATATAGCAAAACTCTGTCTCAAAAAAAAAACAAAAAATAAAATAAAAACATAAATTTCATTTCAGGGACAATTAGAGAAATTTGACCATGGAATTAACAAATTAAGCATCAAATTATAGACTTACACTAACTTAGATAACAGTATTATACACTTATAGGAGAATATGCTTATTAAAGTGATCCATACTGATGCAGATAGGAATGATTCACTTTCAAATGATTTCATCAAATGTTAGGCAGTGTTATGGTTTGCATCTACATGTCCCCCCAAAGCCTGATATACTCATGGCCGGGGCTTTTCAGAGGGGGCTGGATCCAGGATGTGTGAATTTGGAGTAAGGGTGTGATAACTGGATCAGCCCACTGGTTGGTTTAGTATGGTTCTGGGTATGGATAATGGGAAGCCACACCCTGGGTGTGGGTGGAACCAGCCAATAGGTCTACAGCCTAGATGGTATAAAAAGAAAAGGGAGGCTTGCTGTTGCTGCTGCTGCTACTGCTGCTGCTCTGCCTTTTGCTGCCTGCCTGCCCTGCCATGGACCGTTTCTCCTCTGCCCTGCCCCTCTGCCATACAAGCCTGCTTAACCAGTCAGTTATGGACTGAAACCTCTACAAATTGAAATAAATCTTTCTTCTTTTAACTTTGAATGTTGAGTGTTATGTCTCAGCAACACAAAAAAGTAACTAAGACAACAGGGATAAAGCAAATATGGCAAATATGAACAATTGTTAAATATGGGTAGAGAACATAGAGGTGTTCCTTGTACTATTCTTTCAACATTTCTGGTGCTTGAAATTTTTCAGAATAAATAAATGGGAAGAAAAACAAGACTGTGGCCACGTGACCTAACCAAGCAGAAACACCAGCAATCCCCAGTTCAGCACTTCTTTCTTTTCTGTAATTATAACAGATCCAACAAGCCCTGCTGGAGACTAAAAGTAATTATATTTAGAAGGATGCATGGTTTGGACCTGAACTACAAAGATTTCAGGAAAACTTATTAATTTTTGTCAAGTAGTTTCCAAAGTTCTATCATTCAAGAAATGCTTGGTTTTTTTTACATTGGAGCTACTATAAGATATCTTTTTCTTCACTGAATTAACTAAA